TTTTCTTGTCTCATTTGTAAACGTTACCAGCAGTGTCTGTGTTTTTTTCTAGGTAATAGATGCCGTTGCCTTGTTAGAAGACAGTATGGAGAAACTACAGCTGTACGCAGACGATCTACTAGAGGTTGCAAAGAGTCACTTCCCCGACCTGAAAAGAAAGCTACCCAAGCTAACACCACGTGATTATGGAAAATATGAGAGCAGCCTTAATAAAGGAAGCCAGAATGAGGTAAAACAATCAGAAAAGCTAGTTGGAAAACAATGAAATCTATTTGATATGCRGTTAATTCCAAGGGCTACTATGTTACTACGGATCCCCTATTCATCCCCAAAAAACAACGAACCTTCCCTAAAACGTTTTATTAACCAGATACTATGTTTAATTTTTTTCTCATTTCAATCCCATTTTCATTCTATTTTTCTTTTCCATTCCAGCGTCTAACTTTGCTTCAGGCCTTGGAAAAAGACATGCAAGATCTGCAGGATTATGCTCACAAGCTACTAGAACTTGTTGAAGACTTCACAGATTCAAGACCTTGACCTATTACTATTATATGTTCCAATGATGACAATGAAGATATGGATTGGGTGGGAAAATGAGCTGTTTAATTCCCCAAGATTTAGGTAAATTCGCCTGACAGCTTTAAACAAAATATTTTCATAGAATATTTAGAATACAGAGAAACTTGTAGTACAAAAATAAAAACGTTTTCCAGTACCGTTCTTTAATATCTTTTAAATCCTTATCAATTTCTAACGCAGCCGAATAATAGTTCCAAGAAACCTCATGGGCCACGAAACAACAGTTTGAGATTATGAGAACTAGTTTAATATTTGGAGAAATATTTCAATAAAAAATTCCTTTGGAGGCGCGCGCAMCTATAAAAGATTTGTCAGGATTAGCTAGGATGGTGCGCATGCRCTAGCTGGTGTCTAGTACTGTGTGCGCAAACCATTATTAAGAAAGGAGACACCATCCATTACATCTTTATACTTAGTTATTCTTCGTATTCTTTGAATAAATTTCTTAATATATATTTTGTATTTAGAAGGAGTAGCCTGGAAATAAAACAGCTATATTTTATATTCCTAAATATATACCTTAATATAAAGATTATAAACTTTGTATTGTTTGTAGACATTTATAAATAATATTAGAGCATCTCCGGAAACCTATATTGTATATTAATAAAAGCGTTTCAAAACTTTGTCTGATTTCGTGCAGCCTTCTCCGCAGACTAACCCATATATTCTCTCTTGRGATCCCTTTGTTAAATTTTATGGCAGAGAAGAACTAGGAACGAGATTTGAGGAGGCTAGATTTCGTTCTGTAAACAATACGAAACTTGATTCCCGAAACTAAAGTGTACCCTCGAAGAGTGACAAATACAACGACTACAGTTATTGAACCACTTATTTTATTCTCGCCACTAAGTCTAAAAAAACTTTTACACACATACGTTAGTAMATAAAGTATGAAAATAATTGCATTATAAAGTCTACAGGATAATCTTATTAGTCGACCTTACAGTACATATATAATCGTACAGCTTCAGTTATACTCTTTCTCAGTATCATTTTTTATAAAATAACTGTTATGAATGTCGCGTTCTGGTTGGTTTGCAGCGCGTGCTTTATGAGAGCACATTGCACGCGCGGGCTCTTTTCGTTGCGTCATTCCTATCTAAAATAACGGTTATTGTAATTATTATAAAAGAAAAAAAAACTTCATTGCTGTGTTGTGTGCAGTTATAAAGCACTTGGGGATGGGCAGAACACTCGAGAAGTGTTCATAAGCACGACGCGTAGTGTCGTGCTTCTCCACTCCTGACACTTCTCTCGTGTTCTGCCAACCCCCGGCCGCGTGCTTTATAACTGCGCACAGCAAGCGCGCGCGTTTTCTATTCCTTCAATACTAGCTAGGATTCTAGTTTCCAACTAAATTTTTTGTAACGCTGATGAACGTAAATACAGAGTATATTGTAGATTATAAAACTAATAATATGATAATATTAACTAATATTAACAATCTTTCTTAGCRTTGGAGACACATTACATTTCTTTATTTTATTTTTGATGTGGGTAGATGTATTTGGTAGAGCCGAGTCTATAGCTTAGACTCGTTACCACACGYCTTATATTCCACTCTACACGCACACGCACACGTTTTCGTAGTCAACGACCGTGCACGCGATTTCTAAACCTRCAAAACTGAAATCAAATTATTTATGGTCCACATCTCAATTACAAATCACTACTTCTGGTCGAAGCCAGGGTTCTCTTTAGCTGACAAAGTCATCACATAATCATTTTCCTTCTTCTGGCCATTTTTCCATGCTTCTTGCATCTCGTACCTCTCGGGTTCATTTTCAAGGTGATTGTCAGTCGACCTTGTTTCCGGTTCCATATGTGATACGCGTCTCTTCAGCTGATATCTGTCGCGGTTCCTGCCGAACTTTATGACAAGTGCAGCTATTACCAGTATGGCAATGATTCCTATCACGACTAATACGATCAGRATCGTATGGTCTTTTCCACTCGAAGGCTCCTCGTTTTCTAATTAGGATACAAAATAATTGCGTGGTGAGTCGATAGGTTTTAAAGAGCTGTCCTCAATCATCGTATAACTCATTACAGTTATTAATGAGAATAATGTTGAATGATATCAGTGGTGGTATTGGTGTAGGTACTTGGTGATGATGGTGGTGGTGATGATGTGTTGGTGATGGTGATGATGATGATGACGATGATGGTAATGACGACGACGACGACGATGATGATGATATACTGGTGTTGCCATCAATAATCCTTTCCACACTTTAAAAYCATGTAATGCAATTCAATAAATCACTAATTCAAGATCTGAATTGTTGGCGCGACAACCAGTTTATCTCACAGTACACAATTTACCTTGGATCTGTTTCAGTGATACAGGATCCACAGTCCAGTTTCCCAGTTTTCCATTCTGTACACTTCCTTTAAGTGGCYCCAAGGGATCTTTTTGTTTCTTTTTAAAAACAAGTTTGAACTCTGCRACTACACTTCCAGATCTGAAGTAAAAAAGCATGAGTAACATTAAGCAACCACAGTGAAAATACTTTGATGAGAGGGTGAGCCGGAGTATTTTTTAGCTGTCGTTGTGATGGTCGAATTTTTTGTTTTTTGTTTTAATATTTTTTTAAGTATAAATTTTAAGCGTGCAAGAAGATGGAGTGTTGACAAGAGAACACTAAWTTAGTGTCAGTTCATCGACTGGTGTCACACTTTGAAGCTTATTTTAAACTCATCAAACAAAGATTTTRATTAAAACATTTAAAGACTGCAAAGCCAAATGTCTCAAGGGAACTTAAGCCCATAGGCACCAATCATGCGCTAATCATTTGCATATCTAAACACATTTTGTATCGCAGCCATCTTGTTCAAGCGTCCAAAGAAGCAAAGTGTTTAGAAAACTTAGGACGAAAAGAATATATGACGAAATATAATGAGTTTAAAATCGAGCAGGCTTAAAAAAACTTCATACTGAGTGGATTTATAACCTTATATACGGTAAGYATAATCCTTCTTTTCCTACTAAAGATCAATAATGTGGACCTSGAGAACATATAAGCTTAATGAACGGCAATCGCATTACCATGGTGCATGTTCCTTCATTAATTCCTCATTTTAAAACTTAAGGTTTATATAACCTTAAGAGACCTGTTTTATTGCCTACAGAATTCATGTTGAGTATAACATTTCCGTAGCTTACCTCAGAGAAATGATGATCACTTTATCCAGTTCTTCGCCTTTGTTAGACTTTGTAAACGAGTCGCGAATCTGAAGTATACAAAACATTTTCTAGTTTATTGACCAAATGAAAGGAGAAATTGGAAAAACTACCACAGGGACCCCAACGATTGTCTGAGAAAGGGAGTATGTGGGGTGGGGAGGAAGAGGGAGGACACGGGGAGGAGGGGGGAGGGTAAGGGAGAAAGGCGGAGCTCATAACCACCCAAAGTCTTTCATAMCATCATAGAATTCATGAACCAATCAACATGGACATGATCCATGTCTTTACTAACCTCCTTCGCGAGACGATCGGCAAGATGACCAAATGCTGCGCTTTCTTTGTCCTTAAAGTCTTCTTTCCATTCGATCATTAAACGTATTTCAGCCCTTATTACTAAAAATGGTTTAGAAATKTATCACTTATTGGTAGTGTGTATCTGTTTATCTAGACACTGTCCATATGCATGGCGGCGCGCCTGCTAAAACACTGCTTAGATTGGCAAACGTGTTTGTCTTGTTTTGCTTGTTTTAAATTCATTTTTGTTCGTGTCGAGGTAACGACTTAAAATTCAAGGACTATTCAAGGAGTGTACAAATACCCAAAAAT